CCACATGCGTGACCCCCTTCGGAGGTGTGGAATGAGCAAGAATTAAAACGCTGCCATTTTTTACTGCAACATAACCTAAACTAACTTGGCTAGTAGAGCCGTGAATGGGTCTCTGAGCAAAGATCATGGGCTCAGGGACAGAAGCCACAACACTGAGAAAAGAGTAAGCGGTGGGAGGAGGGGAGATTGGCCAGTGGGTCCTCTAGAATCTAAGCTCTATGAAGGCAGAGATTTTTGTGTATTTTGTGAATAGTTGTATACCCAGTGCCTAGAGGAATGCCTGCCAGTCAACAGCTGCTCACTGAATGTTGAATAAATGAACGAATGACCTAAGGTGAGGAAGGCAATACAGAAACAAGAGACTGAAAAAGCGCGTGGGTCTGGAAGGGGCCGCATAGTCATTCACTCATTCATTTATTCATTCCTAAACTCTACAAATATTAAACTGACCACATAAGCTCTCCATATCTTCTCAATAATTGGACCAGAAAAAGGCCTCTCCAAGTGAATTCACTTAAGACAGGGACTGAAATTTCATAAGAAATTGTGAGTAGAAAAAAGGTTTCGACTGGGATTTTATTTTGAAAAATGAAACTAAAAATATGAAAATAGAATCTTATATTGGACCAAAATGAGATTATAATTACAACCATGTGCTTAAACTTTTAATGGACAAAGAACAAATCAAGTATTGATTGGGTTTGGGGGGAATAATTTTTTTTAACAGAATTATATGCTGGCATGGTATGACATTGTTTTCTTTTTTTTAGCATGTTTGCTTTTATTTATTCATAATTTAATATTTAGGTGAAATATTGAATGAACCCTATTATTGGTTTAACTTGCTTTTTAAAGTTAGTAGTAGTAACATTGAATCTTTTTCCTTTTTTCTTTTCTTTTTTAAAATTTATTTTTATTAATTTATTTTTAAATTAAAGTTTATTGGGGTGACAATGGTTAGTAAAGTTACATAGGTTTCAGGTGTACAATTCTGTAGACATGACATTTTTTCATTCCATATTTTAGTGTCACAGCATAATGATCAAAGTTTTGTAGTATGAACGAATTGTTGCTAATTTTCTGTCTACTGTTAACTGGCCTACTTTTATCAGGCTCTCATTTGTCTATGACTTTGGGTGGGATTGGAAGAGTCCTCCAGTGTCCCTGTGATTGGCTTCATAAATCCTACAACTTTCACAAGATTTCGGTTTCACCATTGAATCCTTTGTCATTGCTTGGGAAGCTGCTGACCCCACCCAACAACCAAAGAGACCCAGATTGGCAGGGTTCGGTGTTGGCATTGGGCAAGGAGAGATGTTCATGCAGGGACTACGTTTAAGTGGTGAGTTCATTAATGCACCTCTATTATGGTGACTTTTTTTTAACCTACTACCTCACATCTGCGAGGCCTCAGATAACAATTACTCAGGCCCTCTGAACAAGGAACTAAGGATCCACAGTTAAGCAGGTAGAACCACCCCCTACCCCCCAGCCACTCTCAGCCATAGCCCTATTTCAGGCTGTGCTGGCAGCGCCCACTCCAGCTGTCCGTCCTGACCCTGTGTCCTCCACTGTCTCCAGGTGGCATCCCTGGAAGGAATCACCTAGCTGGGTCCCGGGCCCAGCAGTTTGATCCCCTGTGTGCTTATAGGAAGAGGGGAAAGCGCTTTGTACTGAGGCCACTTGGGACCCTTGTTTCAGGCACATTCACAGCACATCATCCAGCAAAGCGTTTTCAAACTGGGGGCTTGGGGTCCCTCCAGATCCCAGGGCAGATTCAAGAAGTGACACTGCAGCTCCTCAGCTTCATCAATTTGTCTTCCTGAGGTCCTGATCTGATCACAGTCCTTCTCCAGAACTGTCCTTAGCCTTAATGGAAGCCCAACTCCTTCATGTCAAATCCAGCCTCCCTGATGACCGCCCCAACCGCCCTCTGCAGCCTGATCCCACGTTACTCCTCCACTCTGACCCTATGTGCCTGACAAACCAGAGTATTTGCTCCTCCCTAGAGCCCTGCGAGTCCCAGCTCCACGTTCTTGCTCTGCTCTTCCCTTTACACAGAGCACTGTTGTCCTCTCTCTGTGTTTCTAAGCCTGTTTATCCTCGGGGTCCTTTCAAGTCCCATCTCCTCCCTGAAGCCTTCCCTGATTCCTTTACCTGGGTGTGATTGCTCCGTCCTCTGAGCCCCCAGGAGATAGCCTCGCTCGGCCTACCCTGCTGTGATAATCACCCTCCCTAGAGCTGGCCTCACATCTCTTCTAAAGGATGGCACAAAGGCCCTTCTCATTTAGGTTTCTCCCGGGGACATTCAGGACATCGCACGCAGCACGTATTCAGGCACTGCCTGACAAATCTGCCATCATCTCCCACTTCATTTCTGGTAAAATGGCTGTGCCATTAGCTGTGTGTCCTTACACACAGCTCTGTGTGCTCTTTACGACTCAGTTTCATCATCTATAAAATGGGAATGAAATAAAATACCATGGGTAAGGTACCTGGTAAGGGGATGTCATAAGGCGGGGAGGACTGGTCCCCTCCCTCCAGCTGCCCCTTCTCGTTGTCTTTTGTAAGTTCATCTCTCCGGGCCAGGACTAAAGTGAGACAAGTGACCAGTCATTAAAGGCAAAAATTCCTCAAGGTCCAATCTCAGGCCTTCTCTGCTCTCTCCCAAAATGGTTGGCCCTGTCCTGCTCCAGTGTGTGCACAGATGATGCAGAGACCTACCTCCAGCCTGTCCCTCCGGCCAGTGCCTCGGGCTCATATAAGCCTCCTGCGTAGTCCCCTCTTGGCTGGCTTGAAGGAGTCTCAAACCCAAGAGCTCTTCTCACGGGTGGCTATTTTACATAATCTTGGGTAAACTGATTAATGTCCGTCTCCCCACTTGAGCCTGTAAGCGCCTTGAGGACAGAGACCCAGTGCCCGCACAGAGCCTGGTATAAAGTGGGCACCCAGTGACTGGATGATTTTCATCCCTTTCCTTCTTTCCACCCTAGCTTGTCTGTTCATTCAACCTGACTTACTAGATAACAGCTGACCGAGACCTCCCACCCCTCCCCAACCTGCCTGTACTCACACCTCCAGCCACGTATCAACCTTCCTTCTCCTCTTTATCCATATAGCCACATCCCCCCATTGCTTCCTCCAAGTCCCCACTCTAATACCACCTCCTCCAGGAAGCCCTCTTAACCCCACACTGAACACCCTGACCCAAACCCCTTTCCCAGAGGGTTTCATGGGTCAGCCTTACTCGGCGTGAGTCACCTGGGGAGCTGGGTTTTCATGAGGGAATGCACAGGGGGCACATCCTTTTAAAGGAGGTTAATAGGATAAAAGGACGTGTGCCCCTGGTGACCTGGAGCCATGCTCTGTCCACTGATCCCACTGGGCTGTTCTCCATGCCCCCAAGGGAGTTTGCTGACTTCTTGTTGACGGTGATCCTTGGCATGGGCCAAGCCCTCTTCCCAGTTTGGCTGAGACCACAGGAAAGCTAAGTCAGCTTGGCCATTGGTTGCCCAGGTCGCATCGTTGGAGGGAATCAGCCAGGAGGTGCTAAGAGAGACCCACTTACCTAGTAGAGAGGACAAGTTGAACCTGAGCGGAGTCCAGGGCTAGGGTCCCGGAGGAGCAGCTGACTTGGAGTCCCTGTGTGCTTCTTCCACTGTCCCTGCTCCCCTAGGGCTGTCCCTTCCTGCGTGGAGCTGGCCTCCCCTCAAACCATAATCAGCATCATACGCGTGATAAGGGGAGGCCACCAGCCAGCTCAGGTGCCCACTCCGAGCCTAGCACAGTGAGGGAGACCAGGGGAGACAGAAATGCTGCTCTTCCCTGTGGACACCGGACAACGTTGCTGGCAGCCCATTCCACCAGGCAGCAAACTAATGGCCAGTGGCTGGAGTCCCTTCTAAGAGCTTCATCAGGCCTGGATTTGAGGCTGGCCTTCCACAGACCCCAAGTTACTTTGGGCTGGAGAGGATGCTCAGAACCCCAGCCCAGGAGCCTTGACCAGTCTCATGTCAGAAAAGCAGTGGGATCTGCAGGCCACTCATCAGGGCGCAGTGCCTACCTCACCTTGGGCCCTGGATGGGGCCGGATAGGAAAGAACCCACGCACTGTCCCCCCTTGAGAGCAGTGCCCACCAGGGCTGGGTGATGAGGGGATTGCCTGCAGCTGCCATGGCAGGCCTTGGGGAGCCTGCCCAGCAACCTCTGGGTCAAGTTCAACCCACAACTGCCTGCACATGTGTATGTACACACCTACACACCCCATACTCTTAAATCCTTGTACACCAGCAGACATGGGCATCCCACACATGTACCTCTAATGTAAACACATTTACACATGCCTCTACCCCCCCCCCAACTCAGGTAGCTCATTCCACACACATCACTACCCTAAAGGGACCACCCCTACACACATGCCCCATTCACTCAAGCACACATGTGCTCAGTGCCCCCCTTCTCATCCCAGCTAGCCAAGAGGGGCTCTGTGCCCTCTGCCCTCCACACCTGAGGAGGAGGGCTGGGGTGCATCCAGCGCCTTTGAGCCTGTGCCCAGCTGCTGTGGACCTGGCTGGTTCAGACAGGTGAACTCAGGGAACAGGCTCCTATGCCAGCAGAGAAGGAGGGGAAGAGAGCTCTGCCTCCTCTTAAGTCTTCTTTCAAAAAAAAAAAAAAAGGAAGGGAGTAGGAACAGAGACAGGAAGGTGCCTATAGCTCTTGGAGGGGCGAAGAAGAGCGTGAAGGTCTGCCTCTCCCCCTTTCCCCCCAACCCCCAGCCTCAGTCAGCTGTGCTGTGGGGAGCGGGCGCCTTGCAGAGGGAGCAGAGGGACGGAGCCAGCGAGCAACGGAGCTGTTGGGGCTGCTGCAGGAGATGTTATGACGGGACTTCCAGCAGGGGTTTGACGTATTAGCAGGCGCCACTGCTACACACGGGAGCCAAGTCCCCCTGTGCCAGCCTCCCACCACCCAAGGACCCCTTCTCCCTCCTGGAACCCTGCTTACCTGGCAGGAGGGGGAGACCGAGGGGCTCTGAGATGGACGCAGGCTCAGCCGGTAGCTTTGGGGACATTCAAACGCCGGGCACCCTGGAGGGCAGCAGGCATGAGCCGGTCAGCTAAGGGTGGACAGCCCTCAGAGCTCCTGACCGCCCCCGGGCCCGGGAGGACAGACAGAGATGATGGGGACTGGGAGGTGGTGGAAACAGGTGGTGGGGATAAGAGGGTTGAGAGAGGGGGAGGAGGGAGGCAGAGACAGAGAGGAGAGAGACAGAGAGAGACACAAGGAGAAGGAGAAGGAGACGCAGAGAATTACACACAGGGGAGAGAGAGAGAGAGAGAGAGAGAGAGAGAGCAGCAACATGTGGTCTTGTTATCGCTCACTTCTAATGCTGGCATATACTGAGCCCTGTCTTCTGCTGCTCCACCTCTCCACGAGTGCAAGCGTGTACACACACACACACACACACACACACACACACACACACACACTCATACCTACTGACACACAGAGGCACCCTCACGCGCACACACTCGGGACAGCCCTGTTGCCAGCCCCTCATCCTCACATAGCCCTTACCTGGACGAGCTCTTACCTTACCCCAGCAGCAACACGTGTCCGGGCAAACACTCCCTCTGTCCACAGTCGCAGTGATTGCCTCCCTGAACCCAGAGCGGCTGGAGGGAGCCCGCCTAGAGCTGGGCTCCCGTGCCCAAGCCCAGTGCCCACTGCCCTAGCAGTCGGCTTGATCAATGCCCACATTGCGGTGGCTGTTTAGGTGGCCTGCAGGAAGCAGAGCCATTTGTTTTGTCAAAGCGTAACCATGACAATCACCCCATGCGCACACCGATGGTGCTGCTCCCCCCTCCCCCCTCCCCTCACCCCTTCTCTGGAGCTCAGGAGAACGCTGGAGGCCACTTAGCAGCCTCTGCTAATTCCTGCTGGGGCTGATGGAAAGGACCTGGCCAGTGATAACAGGTCTGCGGGCAGCCCCTCCCTGGGGAGCGGGGCTCCCTCCAGGTGATTCAGCACTGTGCCCCAGGCCCTGAGGCCCCTCTGCATGGGACCAGGGCCAAGCTGGCCTCCTCTACATCTTCATGTTCCCCAGCAAGTCCATTTTAGGGCCAAACGATTCAAGCGGTCAGTCCATTTTTCCTTCGCGGCCATGATGCAGCCTAGCAAATGGCTCTGGTTACCATAGTGGTCACAGGTAGGTTATCTGCCGAGACCTTTGGCCATGCCTACCCAGCCTTAGAGTCCTGAGCCATCGCCTCCTGCCCCTGGTCATGCCGAAGCCACGAAGGGAATTTCTAGGCTTTTAGAAGCAGCTCTGGGAAGCATCAGACTGGAGGTCTGGCCTCGGCATACAAAGTTGAACTTCCCAGAGAGCCAGTGGTTTATCATGATCAAGGACAAGTAGATCTGGAAGCCAGGAGGTCTGCCAGGTAGGACTGTGAAGCCTCATGTTGCGGTCTAGCATTGAAGGGTCCAGCGTTTACGAGGTAGATGCCCAGAAGTACAGGACAGAGCTAATGATCACACACCTACACATCTCATTTAATCCTTATAAAAACCCCAAGGAGTGGGGCTTTATCCCAGTTTTATAGAGAAACGGCAGATTAGAGAGGTGGAGTGACTTGCCAAAGGCCATTCGGCAAGGAGGTGACAGAGCAGGGAATCACCCGCATGCCTGTCAGGTTCCAAAGCCCGATTAGTGTCCATTACACCCCATTGCCCTTTTAGATCTGTCGCTGTGTGCCAGGCGCTGCGTGCAAGGCCTGGGAGGGGTGCATGCCCACTTGTTCTGCACCAAGCACTGAGAGGTGGAAGCTATGCTCCTCATTTCAAAAATGAGCTCAGAGAGGTGATGTAACTTGCCCAAGGCCACACAGCAAGTGGAAGAACCAAAATTCGAGTCCAGGTGTGTCTGACTCCATCTTTGCACACCGCCTCCTTCACCACACATCAGGCTACATCCAGGGTAGATGACCTTGTCCCTTTGCTGGACTCCCTGTCTAGGGAGGGTGGAGTCTGAGGGTGGGATGTGTTCAGTGGGTGGGTGCAGCAGGGTAAGAAGAAAAGTGTGAAAGGAAAAGAGACGGCACGTGGGGGTCTAAGAGCTCCTTGCGAGGGTATCAGATGACATGTGCTCTTAGCCAGAAGCCTGAGAACTCATGATGCCACCGTTAGGGAGTCACGTCGTAGGCTCTCCGAGAGCTCTAAGTCCCACCAGACCTTCATTAATTGTCTACCTGAAACCTCAGGTCTTTCTCATCGTTACAAGTATCAGCCAGCTCAGAGGGGAGCCCCAGCAAGAGAATTTTGGAGAACAGTCTGGAGGGAGGGATTTGGGGGGGTCCTGCTGGGCAGAGGGAATGGAGGGTGGGTGGAGAGGAAGAGGAACTAGACTGTGGGCAAATGAACTTCTCCGGCTTGGTGGTTTTGCCTCTGATTGATATTGCCCCTGAATGCTTGCTGGCGCATGGGATCTGTCATGAGCAGAAAGTGATGGCTTTGGGAATGGAATGCTGACTTTGTCATCATGAGGACCAAGATCCAAGGCAAAGTGCATTTAATACTTACAGTCACCCACAATGAGCCAGGCTTTGGGTCCAGTGCTTAGAGAAGGTGATGGTGAGCAAGACTCAGCTTCCAGGAACTTGGCCATGTGGGAGAGGCTCAAGGGCTCCCAGTCGACTTTTGTTCCATTTAACAGTCCCCTAAAGCCGTTCATACCTGGTCTTTCTATTTGTTTATTTGTTTGTTTGTTTCAGGTATACAAAACAATGTAATATTTATACATTTCACCCCTCACAAAGTGATAACCCCTCCCCCAATCTATTGCCCCTCTGATGTCGTATATATCCATTACAATTCCATTGACTCTATTCCCTACACTAGACTCCATATCCCGTGACTCTATATGTATTAAACTATAGTTGACATACAATATTATTCAACATCAGCTTCAGGTGTACAGTGCAGTGGTCAAGCCTCTACACCGTTCATGAAGTGGTCTCCCTAACAAGACATGTGTCCATCTGACACCCTACAAAACCTTACAACATTATTGATTATATTCCCCAAACTGTCTTTCATATCGCTGTGGCAATATTGCAGTTACCAATTTATGCTGTCTTATTTAATCCTCACAAGCACCCCGTGTGGCAGGCAGAATCGCCCCACTCTGGAGGGGTGAGAAGTGATGTGACTGGCACCGGAAGGCTTTGAGCCACTTTTCAGCTCAGAGTCCCTGCTTTCCTGCAGATCAGGGACTGAGGCTTAAGGGCATGGCCACTTAGAATTCCAAGCCTTTTCCTGAGGCTCCCAAAGCCCAAGTCTTAGCCCCCATGAAGCTCAAGATCTCTGTCCCCCCAGTTAGCTCCCCATCCAGGCTCCATATCCACTGGTCATGCTTTCTACTCAGCCACCCCAAGCCTGCAGTTTGCATTTCAGGACCAAAGTTCTCTGGGCGTCAAGGTCAGCCTGACTGAGTGGCTGTAAGGCCGTGAAGAAGAAATGAGAGGTGGCAGCAGACAGAGGATCTGAGATGTGAATCAGGAGGCAGAGAAGGCTGCCAGCTTGAAGGCATTTTCCGGAGCTGCCTCTGCTTGAAGACTTCGAGGTTTTCTTACCCATGATATTAGCGTCCCAGGCCTTTCGTAACAAATGACCACAAACTGGGTGGCTTAAAAGAACAGACATTTGTCCTCTCACAGTCTGGAGGCTAGAAGTCAGGAATCCAGGTGTCCACAGGGCCACGATCCCTGTGGAGGGTCTAGGGGAGAATTCTTCCTCGCCTCTTCCAGCTTCTAGTGGTTGCCGGCAGTCCTAGGCTTATAGAGGAATCCCTCCAATCTCTGCCTCAGTTTTCACATGATCACCTCCCCTGTGTGTCTTGATGTCTCTGTCATCAAATATCCCTCTCCTTTCTCTTATGAAAATGCCACTCACGATTAATTAAGGACCACCCTAATCCAATATAACCTCATCTTTTTGTTTGTTTGTTTGTTTGTTTGTTTTTAGATTTTTTGATTGGGGAATCGGGGAAGGGGAACAGACAAGTTGCTGTCCTTTTGTTTTTTAGTCTAGTTGTGGAGGACGTCGCTTCACTGGCCCATGTTGGTATCATCATTGCGCTCTTCCCGGGTGAGGCAGATCGGTCGCCGGCCTCTGGATGGCCGCTCACAGCGGCTCTTGGCAGCTCAAACTGGTTGCCGGCCGCTCACGCTGGCTGCCAGCCACTCACGGTAGCTTTATGGCAGTCCACTACAGCAGGAGCTGCAGCCTATGCCATCACCGGTGACTCATGGCAGCCCAGCTCCAGGTCAAGCTGTTGTTCACCATCTTAGCTGTAGAGGGCGCAGCATCACTGGCCCTCATGTGGGATCCGAACCAGGGCCCTCTGGCATCCCAAGCCAGCTCTTAACCAGTGTGCCACTCGGCCGACCCAATACAACCTCATCTTAACCTGATTACATTTGCAAAGACCCCAAAAGTCACATTCACATACCAGGCGTTAGGACTTGAACATATCTTGGTGGGGAGAGGGGGAACACAATTCAACCCACAAAACCCATTCAAAAGGAAATAAAGAAGGACATGGGGCAAGCATGACTCCAAGAGGCTAGTCTCCTGGGCTTCTAGTAATTTGGATAGGAGAGAAAAGCAACATGGCATTTAAATGTGGACTCTGGCACTGGACTGCCTGCATTCAAGCCCTGACTCTGTCATTCTCTGGCTGTGTGCCCTTGGGGAAATCACTTGACTTCTCTGTGCCTCAGTCTCCCGGCTATAAAATGGGGATGACTTGAAGTGTTGTTAGGGTAATTCAGTGAGTATCTATTTGCAAAGCAGTTAAAGATAGCATGACAGTTAGGATAATACGAGTGTTTGTTAAACATTAATGTCCCCTAGATTGATGCTGCTGGTTTATAGGTGTAGAAACTGAGATCCAGAAAAGGACGATGACATCCTCCAGGTCACCCAGGGTACAGGCCACCTCCGCTTCCTTCTTCTAGGGTAACCTGGGGGGAGAGTAAATCTGCTTCCCAATTGTTGGAGAAATCAGGTAGACAGTCTGGAGGGGCAGCAAGAGAGGAGAGGTCTGTGCCGTCTGTACAGAGGGAAGGAGGGGATCCCAGCAAGAGGAAAGCAGTAGATTCTTCCCACCCCCTAATATACACCTCTTTTCCCACCCACCCCTCTGTTTTCGGGATTGAAAACAGTGGTACAACTGTTTCTGCCCACATGAAGGAAAACAAGTCTCAGGAATGTGTAATCAACATAGCCTGAGTGAGAAGGGAAAACTTAACCTTCCAGTGATGCAAGCCGGGGGGCCCAGGGCAGAGCTGGAGGGGAGGTCAGGGAAGGCTTGCCTGGGTGGGGTTCGGGGCTGGGGGATTGGTTCTTTGCCCAGAACATCCTGAGCAGGGTGGCCAGGCCCCACAGACATTGGATCTGAGACGACACGTGTCTCAGGCGTAATTCCTGATGGGGCTGGACCCAGCTGGGTATGGCAGTGGGGTACGAAGGAGAATAGGTCCAAGCTTGGGAGGCAGTTGGGCTGGCACAGGCCACATTCTTGGCAAAAAACTCATGAATTCCCTTCTTCTCTTTACCTTCCCC